GATTCTGTGTGCTCTATCGCTCTCAAGAGCCAAAATGTATCTTGGCAGATCTCAAGAGAATAGGGTTAGGGCCCTACAGGGAGGGTACAGGTGAATTAGTGGATAACGAACTAGTGAGGCCAAAAGACATGGATTACCACGTGGCAAACATAATTCATAGAATTTGTAGTCCAGGTGTAATTTACCAATCAGATTGTATATTCTTACAATAAATAATAATGTCTGGTAACACGGTTACGGGGCTATGGATCCATCTGTATTAAGTCTTCAGGGAATAGATCCATAAAGCTACTCTTTTACATATTTTTCCCATAGAAACAGGAAAAGGTTTGGTTACTTTTTATTTCCATTCCTTCCACTTGTAACCTTTGAATAACACCTTAAATTAAAAAATCATACTAAAAAAACATTGTCCTTGATCATAAGCATTTGTATCATCTAATAGGTCATTAATAACCTCTTCACAACCTGATGAATCATATTATTATCTAGCCAATTAATTGTCTAGGCCCTGAGTACCTAATCTGTAATAAATTACATTTAAGGCTTTAAGGAGGGAATGAATCAATTCCCTAACCTCAACCATCAGGTAATGTTTCATTTGTTAGCTCTATGATTAAACTTCTAGGACTGTGTAAGAAATCTATGACTGTATGCCCCAGAATAATATATACCTTACACACCCTATTCTCACTAAAATTAAGATATCGCTTTTTCTTCCTTATTTTTTAAATTTTTTTCCTTCTAGATCTATGTCTAAGCAATAGATTATATAATATCATATTTCAACTGACACACCAGGTCTTCCATCAGAGAGTAAAGAAGAAAACACTAAGTAATACAACATGATATTGCACATAATTAATGGCATTCAATGGCAAAGAAATGTATTATAATACATTTGTGGTTAGACAACTAACACTATATTTGAAGTATTCCCCTAAATTCCATGAAACTCATCACTGGGAGTTCTTGAGTAGAATATTCTGATAGTAGAGTTGCATAAATGGTCACTGCATAATTTCATAAATATTGCCAAAGAATGGGTGCAAAGTGGTGTCAAAATGGAACAAAGTAGATAATGATGCATGCTCAAATTGGACTAAATAACAGGGAAAATCTGCAGCATCTTGCCGTTAAGAAGATTAAAATATGATTTAAAAAACCTTGCAAAATGTTATGATGGTTTCAAATAATTTTTGTAGTAATAATAGTAGTATTAATATGAGTTGCAGCTGTAGTATCATTATGTTTGCAAACATAAAATGTACAATTTTGTTTCCTTACATTATAAGCCTGGCCATAGGCCAGAAAGTTGACCAAATGACTGCCTTCTGCATTTCCAGATTACAAATTCTCCATTTCTCAGATATTTTTCTCAGATTCCAAATGATCCCATTATTTAATATTTTCTGGTTCCTATTCCTTGGAAATAGCTTCTAGTGAAGTAACTGAATGCTTCTTGCTATGTGCTTTTTTGCAATAGGTATCTTTCTCCTACAAAGTAAGGTCAAGTCTCAGAAAGGTAATGACCTCTCTAGGGACAAGGTCTGTAGCATCATCCTGGGATCAGCTTAGACTTTAAGAAAAGCCAGGAAGATAAACAGTTAAGAGCAGATGATGAAAGACACTTAGCAATTCATTCATATCTTTCCAAATCCAAAATCCAGCAGGAAAGAGCTGTTTTATCCATTGTCTTTACGCTCCAGCTAGCTGTCTATTAATGTGGGTGAGTTTCTTCTTCATGCTTTGGGAACTGTTTATTGCTAAGAGTTTCTCATTGTAGCAAATGTTAAAAGGAAGTAGGAAGATTACTGGGTCAGATTAACTTATGCTGTATCTCTCAATTACAACCTTTTCTTTGGTATGCCCATCTTCTTTCTCTGCTCCCCTCCCCACAGGCATTTTCTTGGTTTGTTTTATAAACATCATGAGAGATGGACTAGATTTACATCATTTAAAGATGGAAGAGATGCAAAGGTAATTTAGTGCCATATTATTAGCTGCATGTGGAAGAAATTTAATGAACACACTCCAGTTAATTAGTAGCAACAGCAGGGTGTGAATAAGGTTTCCAGTGTCCCCTTCCAAATTTTGTTACAAAGTAGTTCTAACATTGATTGGTTTATTAAAATTTTTTAAATAAAAAGAAAATTTGTGGTTTGAAAAGTATGTGTGGAGGGATAGGGCTGTGTGTCTGTGTCTCTGTAGCTTGAGCAGCAGAATTTCAAAATGTGGAGAGAATTTCAAATATAGGAGCAACCGATTGCCTTTGGTAGCTTTGCTGTCTGGTCCTTCTGCCACAGTAACCACAGCTCATGTTCCATCCCCTGAAATCCAGATTTCTCTGTATCAGAGACATTAACATCTTGTGTTTTTATCTCTTTTCTTGTTTTTACTCCATGTCCATTTAAGAAACCCTCTTATTTCTTTCTCCTCTTTCCTTCCAAGCCCAGGAATGAACATTTTCTGATCTGATTATTATAGAAAGCTAAACTGCACAAAATGCAGGCCTTTGCTGTTAAAGAAGAAATTTTTAACATAAACTCTTTTTTAAAAAATATGGTGTGCATGTACATATTTTCCCCATCTACCTACTAAAACTTTAAAGGAGGATATGATTATTTCTCAGATGAAGTGACCACATTAGTTTAAATAAGTGGAGTATATTGATTCCATCAAGGTCTGTACATGATTGAGACGTCAGTTTTCTATTGTGACAGTGATCATTTGTTCTGCTTACATGAACATACGAGTTTACAGATCTAACTGAGAAAAGCCATTAAGATTTAGGAAATTCATCTTCTAGTGGTGCTCTTTTATTTTTATTCGTTCTTCATTCAAAAAATGTTCTCATTTCTCTGTTTGGTTTTACATTTCCTCAAGAAGCCAATAGTATGTCTTCCTCCACACAGTTTATCAAAATCTCTGAGAAGCACTAACTATCAGACATTGAATAGCTACTCTTTTCCATAATATTTGTGCTGAGAATTTCATATATAATCTCATTTAGTTCTCCCAATAATCCAATGAGTTACGTGATATTATCCACCCCTCCATCTATAGTGAGGTAAATAGTAGAATATGCATTAGATAATGTCATCTATTGGTGTGAATAAGGTTTCCAGGATCCCCTTCCAAATTTTGTATACAAAGTAGTTCTAACATTGATTGGTTTATATTTCTAAACTCCTATCAGATCATTTGACATACTATACTATATAGAAGAAAATTAATTTGAAATGCTTTATCATCCATTATGGTGGACCTGAAGCTAATGTTTACTTTATCCTTACATCACCAGTCAATGTAAAAATAATTATCTAGGATGTATTATCTTTGCAGCTCCTGTAGACTTTGCCTTTAACAACTTGTTCCACTTCAACAAAGCATATTTATGTTTATTTGCAATCACTTTTAGGCAATCTAGCACTTTCACCTGACATCATTTTATATGGGCATCAAGAGAAAAATTTTAATAAAATTTCTAATTGGCTTAATCTATATCTCTTTATTTCCTTGAACACAATCTCTGATATGTGTGGCTACAGAAGGTCATATAATAAAATTTCCTACTCTTCATCAACTATTAAGACATTTTATATTTTATTACTTTGGGGGCTTTCTAGTTATATCCACATATGTATTCATACTAACTGTGAACAATTCTATTTTTTTATTATTTTACAGAAGTTATCCCTTCAGTTTTCTTTTAAAGAAAAAAAATATAAAAATCCCATTCAGAGTGATATTCCTCATTCAGCCAATGTATTTAGCTATGATACAATCATAAGAAAGATAAAATTAAACTGTTGTGTGATTTTAAGCTTGTAGAATTTAACTATTTTACAAGCTTAGAATGAAAAAGAAGAAAAAGAGAGACGGAGACGCTATAAGGTTGTTTTAAGCTTTAAGTAGTGGGTTGCCAAAGAAATAGAGCAGGCACATTGTTAGAAGTTTGGGTGCATGTGAAGTTAAACAACATATTCAAAGGTGTCAGAAATTATTTTCATTGACAACAGGTATTAATAAGTAAAAAAAGCACATAGGTTGAGCCCCATTATAAAGAGGGCTCTGCTCTTTTACATCTCAAACATATTAATATTATCAAAACATTTAAGTTACAGGGATTATACAATAGGCCAGGATTTGTGGCCTGTTCCCTATCCTAATTTATGGTTCCTTTTAATACAATTGACCTCTTATCTATTTTCTCAATGTTCTGTTTCCTCTAAGATCTGTGACTACTTACATCTCCTTCCGCCTCATTCTGCTTACACATCAACTTTGAAAACGAATGAACCAGGTTTAATTCAGTGAGTCAAAAATGCCGAGGCACTACTGGTAAGAGAATAATATGTACTTATCATTTCCAAGAACCTGAATAATTGGCCTCCACATAGGTAATTCAAGCAATATTTGTTGGAAGAACAAGCCTCTCACTTCCCTCTGTGGGAGGCAATTTGTAAGATGTGAAGGAAGAATTGTTCTCCCTATACCAGAGAAAATAGCAAAGACTGGAAAAGACATCTGAAGATTTTGAGCTTTCAACTAAGACAGGGAAATGGGATTGAGGATTTGTATTATGACTTCAAGTGTCACAGAGAAACTCCACCTAATTCAAGATGTGTCTGGAGTTTGGAGATGAATACGGACAAAAAAGTTAATGTTGCCATTTGTGATATCATTTGCGAAGACACTGAAGACTAGCAGAATCAATGGTCTTAGAATCATGGTTTCCATTTCTACAGTTTCTAGGTGATCAACACTGAATCACATTCCTCATTCACAGCTACTCACATTAGCTTGGAAAATGCCAAGATCTCCATTCTGAAATAAACCTAAATTTACACCAAAGATTCAGTCACATGGTCAGTTTCCATCCATGTTTTTCATGGTTTGAGAGAAAATAGATGCAAAGAGTTCTTCCTTCCCATCCATAATTTTTCCCTGAATCTCTAACAGAATCAGTGGTGAGTGAGTAAAGATTTACCAGACTCATGAGATCCACCAACATGTCATATTTGAACCCAAAGATGGTGACCCTGATTGGGATTCCCGGACTAGAGCATGTGCAATTCTGGATTGGGTTTCCCTTCTTTGGTGTGTGCCTGGTGGCCCTGCTGGGGAACATCTTTTTGCTAATCGTTATCTCTACAGAACGCAGTTTACACAAACCCATGCACATCCTTCTGGCAGTATTGGCAGCCATTGACCTAGGTCTCTGTGTAGCCATTGCTCCTAAGATGTTGGCCATCTTCTGGTTTGATTCTTGTTCCATGGTTTTCGATGTCTGCCTTACCCAACTCTTCTTCATTCATGCCTTGCAGGGCATGGAATCTGGCATCCTGTTGGCAATGGCCTTTGATCGCTATGTGGCCATCTGTCATCCATTGAGGCACACATCCATCCTGACACCTTTCTTTCTATTTCGGGTGGTGCTGATGGTGGCAATCCGAGCAACGATGCTTGTTGGAATGTTACCCATTCTACTCAAACGACTGCACCTTTTTGAATCTGTGGTTATTGTCCATTCTTACTGTGAACACATGGCTGTAGTCAAGCTGGCTGCGGAAGATGTCCATGTTAACAAATCATTTGGGCTCTTTGTGGCTTTTGCAATTCTAGGTTTTGACATGATCTTTGTCTTCATCTCCTACATTCTGATTTTTCAGACTGTTTTTCGTCTTCCCCAAAAAGAGGCACGATTCAAAGCATTTAACACTTGTACAGCTCATATTATTGTCTTTCTGGAGTTTTATATCCTTGCCTTTTTTTCATTCTTCAGCCATCGTTTTGGTCATGTATCAGCCTATGCCCACATCCTCTTGTCTACCATCTATCTGCTTGTGCCCCCTGCCCTTAATCCCATTGTCTATGGTTTGAAGACCATGGAGATTCGCATGCAGGTTGCTCATCTTTTCATTATAAAGCCAGACACCCAGATCAAAAAGTGATATGTCAGAGGAAAAATATGCATTCATCTGTTTAAACCTAAGTTTAAGCTAGAAATTCCTTGTATTATGTGGGGCTATTTTGGTGAGACATTTACATTACAATGATCTCCCTAAAGAATATATATTCTCTAATCTTTCACTGCTTTTAATCAAGCACAGTGAAAGCATGAGACAAATATGGATATACATACACATATATAATATAAATATATAATTTAAAATTTCTAACACCCCTCCATTCTTTATCCTTTCATCTTTTATTTTTGCCTTTTTTCTTCCACCTTATTTCCTTTTTTTACTTCCATCATATCAACATAGCCACTATCCAAGCTGCAGTTTACCCCTTGGATGTACAGCAGTGACAAAGACATATTTCACGATTTCAAAGCTTCACAAAATGCTGATGCTATAAAAATATTGAGCAGGATGGGCTTGATGTCTCACGCCTGTAATCTCAGCACTTCGGGAGTCAGAGGTGGGAGGATCACAAGGTCAGAAATTTGTGACCAGCCTGACCAACATGATGAAAACCCATCACTACTAAAAAGACAAAAATTTTAGCTGGGCATGGTGTCATGCACCTGTAATCCCAACTACTCAGGAGGCTGAGGCAAGAGAATCACTTGAACATGGGAGGTGGAGATTGCACTGAGTCGAGATTGTGCCACTGCACTCCAGCCTGGGCAACACAGGAGGACACTCTCTTAAAAAAGATGAATAAATGTAGTTTAGTATTATTTAGGGTATCATAAGATAAAAACAATAGATTTAGTTTCACATGTGAAAATCAACTAACCTAGATTTTATAAGGAATTAGAGAAGGTCTTATAAAGGAAGTCATAATACATATGATATTTGAATAATAAATATTACTTCAGCAGATGAAATGCTATTTGCCATAATTTTAATTTAGTTTTAAAGCACTTAGTATCATTAGAACTCACATAAGGAGATATGTGCCAGGCATCTGTGAATCTGACGTCTTTGAGTTATGAGTTATGAAAAGCAAGCTCATCTCTGCTTTCATCAGTGATCAAAATATACAAATCATCCTGCTGAAGGAGTTTATGTATCAATATACCAATTATCTATTATTTGGTTTGACTTAACTGCACAAATATAGTTTTTATTGTGTAAGCAACAATTCAACTTTTCAGAGTTGTCATTGAAAGTCATGGCATACAATGTCCTTGAAAGGTGCCCATTCTCTGTAGTGTTGCAACTCAGGACACACTTAAGTTTTTGCTAAAAGATCATTAGGAGATACTTTGAAAAGTTTTGAAATCTAATCTATTAGATTGACCAAATACTGTGATGAAGGACACATAAGAGTATCTTTTCTTCTATTAACCTTACAGCTTGAAAGGACTTAAAATTATTGAAAAAAAGTCAAGACATTGAAGTTCAACCACATATTCCTTAGTCTCCTTTTCATGTCGGACCTCCCTCTTCAGGGCGTCTATGGCTTGAGAGCATATACTCCACCACACTACAGCCACACGAGCAGCAATAATCTTAGCACATTTGTCTCTCCACTTAGTGCAGTGGTTTGACTCCCTCTCTTTGATGGTCATGTTAATGGCTTATATTACTATTTAGAGTAGAAAATGGATATCAAAATGCATCTTATGATGGTCTCAATCTACAAATGGGAGACTTTAGCATCAGGGCAACTTAACAAGAGTTCTCACAAGATCAAAGCAAGAATTTTAATGTAAGTGATATATTTTGGCATTGATCCAAGGAAAATAAAAACATGGGAGAGGGAGCAAGTAAGAAAGTGAAGAGAAAACAGGCGATAAAATGTTTTAGACTAAACAAGTTACTGCTGTTAAATATCAGTGCTCTTGCATGCTAGCAATCCTTGAAAAAAATTGAAAAATGCACACCTCCAGGTTGTTCCATTTAATAGCTAGACATATTGGGTATTCATCCAGTGATCTCCATCCCTTGTTCAATCATAACTCCTGAAATATTACATTGCTAATATATCTCACACGTTTCACTCATGGACAGATTATGCTTCCCAAGCAAGAGGAAGGTCCCAGACAAAGTCATGACAATCTATTGCTGTGAACAGAAACTGTCTACAGGCGACTTTTGGAACACTGTCAAGGTAGATGGGAAATCTTTTGAAATGCAGCTAAAAATGAAAACAATATTTTCTGAAGAAAACATGCAAAAATAGACAAGAGAAGGAATATTTTCCTGCTTCTTCATGTACTCATGGAGAGAATGACAGTATCTAGGACTCTGCTGGAAGAATCATGGACTGTTATGGGGAAATAATAATCTTCATTGCCTATGAAATAAGCTTTTTAAGAGAATTAATATATTATCATCGGATACTGAGCAGTCTAAGATTTATGGCAGATATTTGAAAGTAAAGTGCCAGGTGTTTGGAAGAATAATAGGAAACACCAGCTTTCCAAAATGTAGAGACCTTGCAGATCACCTGTTTCAGTGTAAAGTTAAGTTTGGTTGCAGATTTTAGTTTATTTTCCATTTTAATTTTTTTCTAATGGAAGATAGAGGATATCCTTAGTTTTCAGGGAGACAAGATCCTTATTTGTACAATCCTGCCTGTCTTTATCAGAAATACTGAGAAATATTGGATCAAATTCTCATTCTAGACTAAAATATATTTATAATAAAATTGTTTTGTATATTTTGTGAGTTTAGGATTCCATCCACAGACTTTTAAGAGAAAGATATACAATGAATACACCAAAGTATTTAATTTTCCAAACAATATAAATTCACTCTCTTTAAACAAAATATGGAATATACTAGTGGAGAACATTTTCAACTGTCATACCTCAACCTGCCTTGGATCCAAAGAAGATATGAGATCTATTTATGTATTTATCATTTATCTATTTGGTCATTTTATTTTCTTTATTGTAATCTATCAACAGTATAGAAGGCTCTAGGCTTGACTTTTGATTATTAGCTGAATGTTATAAAAAGATTAATAAAAATATTTAAATTACCTGAACCTAATTTTCCTCTTGTTTGAATGAAGGTAAAAACAATTACCTTAAAGGAGTAATGTATGGATATAACATAAATTCACACACATATGCATACACTCACACACACACTGGCACACACACACACAGACAAAGAAATTTTTGGAAGTGAGGTGCATGTTTAGTACATTGATTGTGATGACAGTATCACAAATATATGCATATGTCCAAATTCATCAAAATGTACACATTACATATGTGCAAGTTTTTATATGAATTATACTACAAGGAAACTTTAAAAATGCATTTTAATCCTAGCTTATAAAAATAAAGTGCTTAAAACAGTATTTATCTGGTTGTTATTCAAACTTGATGGCATAGTTGCTTTGTATTTCCTTTAAGTTATGTGCATAAATGTGTTTTGTGTGAACAGGTGTTCTTGCAAATTCAAATTCATATTTAGCACTTCCTTAAAGACCTCTTGTAAGGCTTGAAACATATTTCATCACCAGATGCCAGCATGGCTATAATTTTTTCCAGTAGGTAGGAATGTAAACTGATAAATGAATGGTATTTAATTAGAAAAAATGTCTGAGTATGTATTTTCTCTTTGAGTCTTAGAATTTCGACATGTGTCCAATCTACCTTTTGTTTTGGAAAAGCGTCTGGATTGGATTGAGAGTTGTTTCAAAATAGAGCAAGGACCAGCAGAAAAGCTATTTTTTCAATTATGTGAGAATATTGCTATTTGTGTAGAATAAGGCATATTGTCTCGGAAAGTAAGAGATGCCTGATGGTGTGTCCTGGCTGTCATGAATCCCTAAAAGCCTCTCTCTATACGAGCCAAAGTGTCTTGATTACCTTGAAATTTTTAGAGACAAAAAATTAATTTCTAAAATTCACATTAGATCAACAATATGCAAGCTATGGAGAACCCAGAAAAAAAAATCATTGGTAAGCAGTAATAAAGATGGTTGGAGTCATGATATTGAACCCTAGAGGGGAGGCATAAATGGAAGAGTTATTTATAATGAAAGAGAAAGTTGAGATTGACAAACTACTTTCAAACCAAGCTATAACTCTACCCATCACAGGCTCTTCTGCTATATGGCTCTGCTACTCCCCTCAAGAATGCACTCTTCTCTGTATTTTTTCTTAAAGTTGAGAGGCTCAACTGTTATGAGTACAAAGCCAGGCTGGACCAGTTCTTGGAAGAGTCCATAACTAATATAATAACTTCTTCTATTATCACAACATCATCTTGAGAGATTCCAAGTGAGAACAGCATAGCTGAGTTTAGGTAATCAACAGAATGTTGTGAAAAAAAATCATAAATTGCTATGAAAACCTGCCACTAAGTCTGAATGTGATGTATGATACACAATATTTACATGTAAGAAAAATTTGTTATCAGTTTAATTCTGCAGTAACACAAGTCTAAAACATGCAGCATTGGCTTTGAGAGTGGAGAGTGGGCAGAAACATGATGGGTACCAATAAAACTGTGAATGAAGACCTTAAAAAGAGAAACAAAATTGTTACTGTGTAATAGACAATAAAGGAGTCAGTGATTCGTGATGGCAGAATAATAGACAAAATTGTCACCTTTGTGAAAGTAGGAAAAAGAATACACACACACAAACACACACACACAGACATGCATACATTTGCACACATAAACCAATGGATTTTCAATAAATTTGATGAAGATTTCCAGGGACAGTTCTGATAAGATGTGTGTAGAAAAATATGATTTTTAGAAGCCAGTGTTTAATTTTAAGCAGAATTCATAAGTACTGCAGAGATTTCTGAGTTTGAACACAAAATATTTTCTCATTCACTTTTTCTGCATATATCATAGTTTCTTAAAGTGGGATATAGACTGGATAAAAGCCAGCATTTTTGAGACTACTTGTTATTCAGAAGCACTGCCAGGTTAAACTGAAAAAGACAGAAACAGCTCAAATGAAAGGAATCTTTGATACACAATACTGTATTGTTAACTGTAGATGCTCTTCTATAGAGTAG